ATAAAATAAATGAAATGATAGCATGTAAGTTTTTATCCTCTTTGTTTTGACTATCACATTTAATCATGTTTACATAGTAGCACCAAAATTAGGACAAATTACAAGAATCACAGGAGAGATCTTAAATTATATGAGCTCATTGCATGCTTCAAAAGGTCTCATGTCAGAGAAAAAAAGGTTTCCAACTGCCAAAACTTTGCTGCATTTTTCTCTCCCCCAAAATATACCCCAATTAAGTTCAATCTAAACAAAAGATACAATAGACTGATTTTTGAATAGATATGTTATCTACAGTTTATAGGACAGACAGTCCGTTTAAATAGAAAAAGTGATTTTTACATAAAGCAAGATAGAGTACAAAAGCACAGCTTTTGTAATTTTGGTAATATTGCAATTTTACAAACATGTTGCATAGTATGTGTAAGAAAATAGTTCCATTTTTCATATATCTATATATACAAGAAAACATTTACATGAAAGTACAAAACAAAATAAATGAATAGTGGACCTGATTTAAAGAATTGTATAAATAACGAGACACTCAAACTCCAAATTACACATCTCCATTGTTAATGAATGTCCTTGTCTATCTTTAACCCTGTTTGGCTTTTATTTATAAATATTCAAACAAATGAGATATTAAGACTGAAAAAGACAAAAAAGAACTACAGTTCATTATACCTCATTTCATTTAATGGTTTTCATTGGCTTTCTCAAAATGCAGAGCCACCTCAGTTAACAATTAAAAAATAGCCCTCTGGTTCTACAAGTATTTCAAATTAATTTTATTCTCCAAATAATGTTCAGCAAGTAGTGAAAGTTTAAACTCAGCTGAGTAGATCCATGCTGGGCCCATTTTGGGATACGGTCTTTGTGTATAGGTTTTATGAATACTAAGGAGTTTGTTATGCATGTATAAAAGAAAAGTGGACCACACTAATGATGTTTCCCTTCTGAAACAAAAGCATTCCTTAATTTCTACAGCTCAGAATCCTCCAAGAAGGATGTTAACTACCTTATAATTACAAGCCCCCCTATTCATTTGAATATATTAGTAGGAGCAGCAGTGTTTTCGAGCTAAATACAGTAGAAATCCCATTCTTTGGTCTTTGACATTTAAACAACTAATAAATTGCAGTATAAAACAACATTAACAATAGTGTTCAATTAAGTTATCAATTAGTTTATGATTATTTAAAATGAATACAAATGCAATTTTCCTTTACTTTGTGGTAATGATATTTTGCAGTATTCATTACTGTAATATACACCAGTACATAGAGCAAATAATTTCTCCATATGTCATTAAATATGATCACATGAACAATTCTTATTAGACCACAGATACTTGAAGAATTAGGTGACAAGACCGCTGTCATATAAAACTCAAATATGAATTTGGCTTTGATGGTTTTTACAGAAAATTTGGCCATTAAATACTTTCAATGATTTTAATAATTTGACATTATTATATTGACATTATCTGCTATGAAATAGAACACTCCTATGCCTTAGACACTCTCCAGGCTATTCCTGCCTCATACAGAGATACCATGTTTGCAGTGAAACAATTTATTAGAAGTTTTATTGTATCAAATGCTATTTTTGTAAAATGAAGCATTCTCTGATTGAGTCATTCAGATAGAATATGCAGAAATTTTGAATGGAATAAAACGTTATAAACAGTTCAGCAATTAACCTCTGTGATCACATTATCATTTCTTCAAAAGATCACTGCTTTTTAGCTTTATGGAAGTAATAACAAATCAACAGAATGTTTATATTTGGTTAATATTTCTATTTCCTAAACAGTCACTTTGAATAAGACCCAAATGCTTTATTTTCCTTTAGAACGTCAACCATATTACTGAATCCTGTTAACCAAGCATGACTTTTCCAAAGGAACCTTAATGTTCAAATGGTCAGAATATAAAAGGGAATATAAAAAAGAGCAGAGGAAGTAGCATGCCAAAAAGATTTGCATTTCAACATTTATAAGTGACTTTTTAAGGTGCAGAAGGAGGTCACTAATGCTAGTTCAGATATGGCTACTTAAGCTAAGATTTATGAGTACTTCCTTAAATGAATCAGAAAAATTTAAAAATGAATGTGACTAAAGGAAATGTCTAGTTTGATATATCCCTCTCACAGATAATTGAACTGTGACCAACGTAATTAAATATGTGTCTTAAGTAGGTAAGTTCACATGACTAGCCAGGGGCAGAACTAGAACTGGATTTGCTGGCTCCATTTTCCTAGATTTGAAGTACTGTAATCTGAGATTCCCAAGTTGCAGTAAAATTTGAAGTGTATAATTGTCTTAAACTCTTAGATAATTATGACAAATTATAAAGCATATCATTCACAATAAAATACATATATTTTAGACATATATATGTGTGTATGTGTGTGTATGACTAATAAGTACCGGATAGAAATTTTGGAAATGTTGAACAAGAGAAGTAGGGAATTTGGAAGTTTTTGTTGCTCTTGCTGTTTTTTTTGAAGTTTTTAATTGAAATCTTCTGAAAAAGAAAAGAATAATGTGTCTTCTTTGCATCTTTCCTTTTGATCCCCCAAACCTGAATTCAAATACATCTCGGTTTATCCATTCCCGGCAAATAACTTAAATTCTAGCAGTACTACCAGCCTCTTTTTCTTCCTCCCTTTGTTCCTTCCTAGACTACACTGAGTATGAAGTTATTAAGATATGGGTAATAAGCTTAGTCACATCCATGTAGTACACTATAAAGGATTCATTTTCCTCAGTGCCATTTGGGGAAGATGAAATTTATATCATGTAAGTAAACTGCGTTATATTTTTACATATTGTAACATAAAGATGGTACTGGGAAAACAATCTGTTTGGGTAGTGTGCATTAAGGGGCCACTGTATTTTTTTTTTTTAATGCTTTTTTGTGTTTGAATGAGGAAAACGAGGACATTTGGGACCATTCTTCTAAGCCTTCACCATAGGCTTGATCTCTCTGAGGCAGGGATCTTCTCTTAGGCTCAGAAATCTGAAACAGCTAGTCAAATAACTTAAAGCAATTACTTGGTGTTGAATAGGAAAACCATCGCTATCACTATTTTGTCTGCTGTACTGAATAGATTTGTTATATCATCTGGATACAGTCTAAAGCTCTCAAACTTGTAAGTTACTTTTCAATTGTGTCTATACTTTTCAGAATACATTTGAATTAAAAATGTGACAGCCCCTCACTGGAATTGGCTTTTACATTTTTTTCATCTTTTCTCCTCTTATGACATATAATTTAAATTTTCAGTTTTCTCTTTTGCCCTCTGTAATATTTGTACTTGAAATTAGAACATGTTGGAATAGAAAGGAACCCCAAGAGACTATTTTATTCAATACTCTTGCTGTAAAGTTGAGTAAACTGAAGCCTGGAGAGATTCTCAAACTGCCTAAAACAGCTCAATTGATTAGAAGACAGCTGAGATTAGAAACAAGGCCAGTTCCTACTCAAAAGAATTATTCCCATTTGACTTAGAAAGTTTCTAATGATTTTAATAGAAGGATGATTAGGACTTGAATATGTCTTAAATTACTACATAATGTTTTCCCTAAAAGTCCATAATATAGTGATTAGCACACATAATTTCTCAACATTTCTTGTATTATACTTTATTTCGCAAAGACCAATGTGAGATTTCTTAAATTCTCTTATTTTAATATAAACTCTTGTGTTATCAGATAACTTTGTAAGCAATTGTATATCATAATTCTTATTTCAATACTGATTTTAAAAGTTATATAATAACACCCAAATATAATCCACATTTTATTTTAAAAATAATAAAAGTAAATTAGCCTTTGAACCCTTTTGCTGAGTACAGTGGACACGAGCTTTTTCAGTTATTTGATATGCTAGGTTATGCAAACAAGATAATTCTGGTCAGATGTTTCACTTTTCTTCTTGCATTGCCAATATTTCTACTTTCACTAACCACATCTTTTGCAACAAGTTCTAATCTCCCAGTTCACTCTGAGCTGTAAAGACCTGAACTCCAAAGATTCTACAGCCGTTAATCCCCAAAAGGAAGTTTCAACACAACTGTTGATAGTGTGCATGCGGGAGAAAAAAGTTGATTGACATGTGAAAATTCAGGACTTACCTTATAGTAATTAAGTCATCTTCCCATAATAGGAAATATTTAATACAGTTTTACATTCTTTGACTCTGTAAGTTTCAAGAATTTGAGTTAAGGGGTATTGTGATAAATGAATCTTCAATATTCTGGAGTTGTTTACTAAGAGGTCATATACAAAAATAAGCATTGGAAAATGAAAAGAACTAGAATTTTTGAGGTCCATGTAGTTTAAGAATCTAATAAAAGTAAATACATGTTAACAGCTGAATAGAAATGGGAGTAAATTCCCTAAAATATGAATCTAGTGAAGTAAACACATTTTCAATGTTTATTAGCATTTGTCATTTTTACTGTTTAGTCAAGAAATTTTAAGTTAACTTCTAACTTCTTTAAATCCTAACCTCCAGTAAAAAAGAAATGGAGAATAATTCTGAAGATGATACCCCAATGGAAAGTGAATTTATTCTCAACATTATGCATCATATTAGTATTATTTATTTAGAGGATGTCTGAATTTTAGCAGTCAGAATCAAGTGTAAAGTGAGTGGAGCAAACAAAAATTATACTATTAAAACCTAGGTGTAAAGGATAGCAAGGATAGCATGAGTTTTTAAAAAATGATCTATGGATTTAATACCATCAATATGTCCTTCTTAATCCTATCTTATATTGCAATAAATTAGATGTTTTGTTAAAAGCAAATACGTCACATGCAGTAGCCATGTAAATACTATATAAGGCCATCCAGATCTGACAAATGACGTTATAATGGCATTTTGTTAATTCTGTAAAGAATATATTGCTGAGTGCTTTCAAAATTACCTAATGTACAAAATTCTAGACTTAGTAGACAAAGAGTAACAACACACTGAAATTAAAGAAACAACTCAGGGAGAGATTCTGTATTGTTTTGTTTTGTTTTGTTAAAAACCATGTATTGAATTTAATTTTTAGTAAAGCAAGCATTACATAATGCTTTAAAATTTTAAAAGTTGGGGATAAAAGTTTACATCCAAAAAGATGAATGGAAAATTGTGCTTTCAGACTGTAGAATAAGTTTTCTTACAGGGTTAACCATTTCATCTTGCCATTGGATACTGGGAATTTCATTTATGTAATGTGTATATGTGCAGTTCATATCCCGTTCCTGCAAAAATCTAAAACTGTGTGCTTCACTTCGCGTAGCAAAGGCACCTATGTTATTCTCCCTTTTGAGCAAAAGTCTTGATCCAGTTTTCCTGCTGACGACGCTTTTTCCACTGCTGTGTCAATCACACCTTCTGCGTTGAGCAGTACAGTAAATCACAAGAGAAGGTGGTGGCGAATCCCTGCTCACACTGGAAGCAGCTCTGTGGACCATTCAAAGAAGCTCTGGACTGATCACAAGGGAAACCGAGCAGAACTGTGAAGCAGACGGACAGGAACAAAAGGCTATTCTGGTGTGAGGAGAAATCAGTCACTTCAGCTCCACAAGCAGATGTTGCTACTGGACTGACAAGTGGAACCTACTCCTGCTGGAGAAAGGTACAGTTTACCACTGGGGCAGACGCAGAGTTCATACACTGTCTGCCGAGAACTTGAGGAGCTGGGTGAAGAAGATGAGAAGGAGCCAGTTGGTAGATTTCCCAGCCTGATTGTCTCTGCATTTAAAAATATCTATGGGAAAAAAGAAATTGCATTTTAATTCATTTTAGAAATCTAAATTCCTCAGAGCATCGAGTAATCTACGTTCCTCCTCAACATGGTCTAACAAGGAAGTCGACACAACAAACAGTTCTATGGTTTAGCTGCCATGCTTTGTGGAACAATCAAATTACATTCCTACAGTAGAGCCCGAAAGATCTGCAGCTATCTTCTCCTTTGGGAGACAGTGCATTCTGACAGAAAGCCTTCAATCTGAAAAGCAATATCATACAATAAGCTTAAGGGGTCATCCCAGTTACTTAAACACCACAGAAAATTAATGATTTTAAGAGAGTCTCTCAATTTAATTTCTTAACCATGCCTGGTGTACAGAATATGCAAAGAAATAAGGATGTCAGTGGAGATGACAGTACTGAACAGGGGGCAATTAATTTTTAAAAACCTCAGTTTATTTTATTGGACTATATTCCCATTTATTTATATCATCTTTTTTTTGAATACTTTAAGTTCTGGGGTACCTGTGCAGAACGTGCAGGTTTTCACATAGGTACACACGTGCCATGTGGTTTGCTGCACCCATCAACCTGTCATCTACATTAGGTATTTCTCCTAATGCTATTCCTCCCCTATCCCCCTACCCCCCGATAGGCCCTGGTGTGTGATGTTCCCCTCCCTGTGTCCATGTGTTCTCATTGTTCAACTCCCACTTATGACTGAGAACATGCGGTGTTTGGTTTTCTGTTCTTGTGTTAGTTTGCTGAGAATGATGGCTTCCAGCTTCATCTATGTTCCTGCAAAGCACATGAACTCATCCTTTTTTATGACTGCATAGTATTCCATGGTGTATATGTGCCACATTTGCTTTATCTAGTCTATCATTGATGGACATTTGGGTTGGTTCCAAGTCTCTGCTATTGTGAATAGTGCCACAATAAACTTACATGTGCATGTGTCTTAATAGTAGAATGATTTATAATCCTTTGGGTATATACCCAGTAATGGGATTGCTGGGGCAAATGGTACTTCTAGTTCTAGATCCTTGAGGAATCCCTACACTGACTTCTGCAGTGGTTTAACCAATTTACACTCCCACCGACAGTGTAAAAGCATTCCTATTTCTCCATATCCTCCCTGGCATCTGTTGTTTCCTGACTTTTGAATGACTGCCATTCTAACTTGCCTGAGATGGTATCTCATTGTGGTTTTGATTTGCGTTTCTCTAATGACCAGTGATGGAGAGCATTTTTTCATGTGTCTGTTGGCTGCATAAATACCTTCTTTTGAGATGTGTCTGTTCATATTCTTCGCCCACTTTTTGATGGAGTTGTTTGCTTTTTCCTGTAAATTTGTTTAAGTTCTTTGTAGGTTCTGGATATTAGCACTTTGTCAGATGCGTAGAATGAAAAAATTTTCTCCCATTCTGTAGGTTGCCTGTTCACTCTGATGACAGTTTCTTTTGCTGTGCAGAAGGTTTTTAGTTTAATTAGATCCCATTTGTCTATTTTGGCTTTTGTTGCCATTGCTTTTGGTGTGTTAGTCATGAAGTCTCTGCCCATGCCTATGTCCCAAATGATATTGACTAAGTTTTCTTCTAGGGTTTTTATGGTTTTAGGTCTTACATTTAAGTCTTTAATCCATTTTGAGTTAATTTTTGTATAAGGTATAAGGAAGGGATCCAGGATCAGCTTTCTCCATATGGCTAGCCAGTTTTCCCAACACCATTTATTAAATAGGGAATCCTTTTCCCACTGCTTGTTTTTGTCAGGTTTGTCAAAGATAAGGTGGTTATAGATGTGTAGTGTTACTTATGAGACCTCTGTTCTGTTCAATTGGTCTACAGATCAGTTTTGGTACCAATACCATGCTGTTTTGGTTACTGTAGCCTTATATTATAGTTTGAAGTCAGGTAGCATGATGCCTCCAGCTTTGTTCTTTTTGCTTAGGATTGTCTTCATTATGTGGGCTCTTTTTTGGTTCCACATGAAATTTAAAGTAGCTTTTTTACAATTCTGTGGAGAATGTCAATGGTAGCTTGATAGGTATAGCACTGAATCTATAAATTACTTTGGGGAGTATGGCCATTTTCATGATATTTTTTAATACTTATAAAAGTGTGTGGACTCTTAATCCAAAAGATATACTAAGTAGCTGATACGGTTTGGCTGTGTCCCCGCCCAAACCTCATCTTGAATTGTAACTCCCATAATTCCCATGTATTGTGGGAGAGACCCAGTGGTAAATAATTAAATCATGGGGGCAGTTTCCCCCATACTGTTCTCAGGGTAGTGAACAAGTCTGACAAGATCTGATGGTTTTATAAGGGGAAACCCCTTTCACTTGATTCTCTCATTCTCTCTTGCCTGCCACCATGTAAGATGTGCCTTTTGCCTTCTGCCATGATTGTGAGGCCTCCCCAGCCTCGTGGAAGTGTGAATACATTAAACATCTTTTTCTTTATAAATTACCCAGTCTCAGGTATGTGTTTGTGAGCACTGTAAAAATGAACTAATACAGTAGCTAATCAGCACAATGAACAATATGTAAGTATCGTCTGTAATTAGATTTGAAGTCTCCATGAAACATATTACCTATGTTCAATACCTTTGCTAAATCTTCTCACTTGAAAAATGCCTTATTCTACATTATGAACTCACCACTTTGAGGGACAGTGATCGTATGGCTCTGACATGCATGGAGAAAGTTCCAGAAAACAAAAACAAAAAACAACAACAAAAAAAAATGGATCTTGAATTTGACAAAGAGACAACTCTGTCCAGCTGTTATATAGCTAATGATTGTCTGAAGGGTATCCCTAAATTGATAGGAGTAGGAGAGAATATTCTGCTTTCTCTATCTTTGCCCTCCCTCATCTAAGTTCCATTTGGTTTGTACTAGGATTCCTGTAGTAGTCTCCTGCCTGGCCTCCCGGTGGCCCATTTTTGTCCTGCTATCATTGGTTTTACACATTCCTAGAGTGAACTTTTAAGAAATGCAAATCAAATCTTGCTACACTTCTCAAAACACTCTGATGTCATCCCCCACACTTCAGTTGGATCCTGATGTCTTTCCATGGCCCAAAGGCCCTATGTACATGATCTGATCTATCTCTCTATCATTTCCTGTAATTCTTCCTCTTGCTCCAGCTCTTTCATTTTCTCAAAATGGCAAAAAACACTATGGTCTCACAGCATTTTTTACTATTTCCTCAAACTGAAATACTTTTCTCCAGAGATTTAGTGAATGGGGGGAGATATTAACTGAGTGGTTGTGAAATATGGATGGGAGGGAGATTTCCACTTTTTTGATGCATTATAAATTTCTGAACTATAAGACTGTATCGCACACTACAATTAAGCCAGAAAAAGAATTCATTATCATACGTATATATATTTTAGGTTAATTTGGGTGCAAACAAATTTGATCCAATTCTCCCAAAGTTCACCGCCTTGGAAATAACTTTTCTAAATACCCTACTTTCTTCTCTCATTAACAGGTATACTTTTCTCTATAGTAAAAATCCATTTGTAATGTTATGTTACATTTGTATTCATTCATTGTTTGTTTCTTCTACTTACAATAAGATCCATGAGGCTATGGCCTGTATTTGGTTCATCCATTTAGTATAGGCCATGGAATTGTAAAGTGCATGAATTACATGATGCTTTTTCTTCACCTTGAACACATCTCTCCCCTCTAGGTTACAAATACACCCTCCAACAAAGCCCAGTTCATCTCTTTTCTCCTCCATATACCTTTCCCTGATGCCCCAAGATAGAAAAGCCCTTTTTTCAAAAAGATTTTTTAAGTTATACTTTAAGTTCTGGGGTACATGTGCAGAACATGCAGGTTTGTTACATAGGTAATCATCTGCCATGGTGGTTTGCTGCACCCATCAACCCACCATCTACATTAGGTATTTGTCCTAATGCTATCCCTCCCCTACCCGCCCTACGCCAGAGAGAACCCAAATGTGATGTTCCCCTCCGTGTGTCCATGTGTTCTCATTGTTCGACTCCCACTTATGAGAATATGCAGTGTTTGGTTTTCTGTTCTTGTGTTAGTTTGCTGAGAATGATGGTTTCCAGCATCATCCATATCCCTGCAAAGGAGATGAATTCATCCATTTTATGGCTGTGCAGTATTCCATAGTGTATATGTGCCACATTTTCTTTATCGAGTCTGTTATTGATGGATATTTGGGTTGATTCCAAGTCTCTGCTATTGTGAATAGTGCCACAATAAACATACGTGTGCATGTGTCTTTATAGTAGCATGATTTATAATTCTTTGAGTATATACCCAGTAATGGGATGGCTGGGTCATATGGTATTTCTAGTTTACAATCCCACCAACAGTGTAAAAGTGTTCACATATGGTAAACTAGTTTACAGTCCCACCAACAGTGTAAAAGTGTTCCTATTTCTCCACATCCTCTCCAACATCTGTTGTTTCCTGACTTTTTAATGATCACCATTCTAACTGGCCTGAGATGATGTCTCATTGTGGTTTTGATTTGCATTTCTCTAATGACCAATGATGAAAAGTTTTCTCATGTGTTTGTTG